GGGCTGAATTGCACAAAACGCATGATCGCACCGGCTAGTCTGGTGCGCGTTGCCATTTATTTTTAAGTGTCGCAGTGCCAGTAGCGCCGCTGTTTTTGCTGATTACTGAGGCTTCCACTTCTTCAGTGGAACAGCCTAAGCGTCTGCTTTTCTTTCTTTCGTTCGTTTCAGGGCATAATCTGACGCGGAAAAGTATGCAGTCCTCGAAAGGGCAACCATCGATAGCTTTGTCATTTTGTAATCTTTTCAGCCAGTTGGTGAATATTCAGCTCATCTGCAACGGCGGCAAGCGGTAATGGTGGTGAATTTTGAGCTTGTTATTAGTAGCATTGAACTGTCAGCTCAGTTACTGCCATCACTAAAAGCTAAATATCGCTTGGATTATGCACACAGCAGTGGAAAGACGTTCGTTTTTCTTTGTTTCTGTAGCTCGTATGAAGCATTTTGCTGTTATTCTTACTGCTCTGCTTATCGATATCGTAAAAGAAACAAAATTTAGTGGCTCCGAATCGGAATTCACAGGCCGTATCAGAAGCCATGTCGTTCATTTTACCGTTCTTGCGCCTCTCGATGAGCGTCGAATGTCGTCATTAAATTCGGACACATTTACGCTTGTTCTACCTCATATCTCTGCGAACGGCGCCTATCGTATGCCGGAGAAAATTGAAAGTGTCGATAAGATGGAGGATGAAAACTTGCAGTTTCGAGAGGGAGGATATATCGACGTCGTCCTCACAATAGGTCCGTCATTTTTACTCCAATCAGATTGATTGGTTTGCTAAAAAAAGCTTTTCTTGGGAAAGCATTCGGTGCTGTAGAATTGTGTTGTTCACAAAAAGAGGCTTCTTCTGCTTCAAGGATTTTTACTTTTTATAAAATGCATTTCAAAATTATCCTCTTCTGCTTTTTTCAGGTAAAATGGAGCATGTCTTTACAACAGATTTGCTCAACCAGATTCTTTTTGCGGAGCAATGTTTCCGCTCCGAATTAACGTCGTTGCTGGAAAGGATTCTTGGAGATCGTGCACCTCGTCCGCCCGCAGCACCTTCAGAACATGCTCATCCGGCGCCAGATCCTTTCTTATTCACAATAACAGTGAGTCTGACTGATAGTCCTTTATGTTTAGTTGCAGTAAAAGGGTCAGAATTTGTTTACTTCCTATTATTTGTTCGGATAACCTGACCTAGAAAGTGAGGAGGCCAGAAGATAGAAGCTTTCGAAAAAAAGCGTTGTTGTGTTGATGTACACAGGCTGTCAATGTGCTGTAAAGATAGTTTCAATTTTTTGGTGATGGGCCTCATAAGTTCGCCGTTTCACAAACATTTGCAAAACAGAAATGGGAAAAATATTACTGATGAATAACGAGTGAGGCTTGGAAATTAGCAGCAGAAACGAAACGTGCAATATTTTTGAAGTATTTAATATCTCCAAATATTTCTGTGTCACACAAGAAATCATTGAAACACATGTACTTGAGTTTTTATGCGTTTTTTGCAGCTATGCAGTGCGGAAAACGCATATTGACGAGAGGTTGTCTGTCTGTGTGTGTCTGTGTGTGCGCAGGGCCTCTGTACCGATTTTTCATCTCGAGACTTACAAAAGCTACAGGGCTGAAA